CTTTGTTTTCTCCTATGCTCTTTAAGTAATATTTAACCATATGTCAAAGGCCTTAAATTAATGGCCTCTCCCTTCCTCATCACCTTCTGTATTACCTCTTTTATTATAGCAACTATGTACAAATAATTAAAAATGTTATGTCCACATACTTTTCCTCATGGCCGAGCTGTTGAAAACTATAGCAGATGGACACATGTGTAAAAATTCCATTAAGCTTTTTTTCTCTACATACCCAGTTGCCCTGCTGCAGGAGACAAGAGGTTCTGCCAATGCTAAAGATTAACTGCTGTGAATTTTAGCTGATTGATGTATGATGTTTGAAAGAGGCTGAACCTCCTTCCTTGTACAGATAATCCTTACTCTTAAACTGGTTAGATTTTGCAGAGCAACTATTTCTAATGGAAAATCAGTTTTTGTTTCTGTATCACTTTCAAGTCAGGCCTACCCACAATATGTATTGTAAAATCTTCCCTAACATAGTACTTCTGCTCAGTTTTTTCCTTCCAAACAAACATTTCTACATTGCAAGCAGCCATCAGCCCTACACAAGGTCAGAAATGGCAGTTGTTCTTTTTTTTCCTGCCCCAGGGTGAGTTGTGCACCTGCTGCTACTTCATAAGCTTGCATGCTCAGCCTGAGCACAGGTGTGCAAGAACGATAAGAGCATCTGTGCTTCTGTAATAAAGCACAAGGCAACACAGCTTACACTGGGGATCAGGACTCATCCTTCCAAGCACTACACAATCCAAACACAACCTTTGGAGAAAACTACCCAAGCCCAGTATTAACTGTTACACTCTCGTGTCTATTCAGCTCTGCTACAGCTATTGAAGTATTCTGTAGTTATTCTCAAAAGCAATTACTGGATTTTTAATATAGCAACTGAAGTCTAGGCTAAGATATTCAGCACAGAGGAAAATGTTTGGTAGTTTGATGTATTCTTGTACGAAGTTGTATTTTTACCACAGCTACTTTATCCCTTCATAGTTAAGTGCACTGAATAAATGCAAGGATGAAATGACCTGCATTGGTACTCCACACTTTGCAGTGACTCACTGGCTTCCTAAGCTGTAAGATCTAAACCTGAATGCAAATAAGATACTACTGTCAAAATACTGATGACTTAATAGCACATGAAATCTTTTGAATGCTATCAGGTGTTATGCTGCTGTAACTGACTGGCTCTGACCACTCTGCTAGTGGTAAAGTCATAGCAGGCTGAGACAAACCTTGTGGGTGAAGCTGTTGGTCTTTTCTTAATCATTAGTTGACCATGAGAGAGAGGAAAGCCAGAGATTGACCAAAGAGAGAAGAGAGCATCTTTAAGGAGAACTTTAGCTGAAAAGACACCAGGATGTAATGCAGACATCCATGGCTGTTTAGAGTGTGGAGGATTCATCTTTCTTAGTTGCATGAAGTGTATCCTATTTTTCTTACATGCCAGTAGCCATGCTTTGCAGACCAGTAGTTGTTCCCAGAGCCTCTTGCAAGTGGAAGCCCAGACCTTCCCAAGCAGCTCAGCACAGCTGCATGCTGTGCTGAACTGTGTCCCATCAATTGAGGGGGTCTCTGTACCTCTGTGTGTGAGCAGCCCATAAACCAAGGGCCAGAGGCTGGCAGCTGCTGATTTACTGCTGGGCAGTAAAATGAATTGAGCTGGCCACCTGCTATCCTCTAACCAAGGCACAGCTCCTGCAGTTCCACGGTCCTCATGGAGCCAGATGTTTCCAGCTTGCCCAAAGCTATAGATCTCTAAAGGGTGATAGGCAAAACAGACATTAATACATCTCTATTTCCATTATAAAATAGGGGAAAACCCCACAGTTCACTACACACAAGTCTCTTGACTTAAACAGCCACATGCTTTTCCTAGCCCACCCATCTGGGTAGAGCTGAAGGTACTGAATTATGTGCTTTTCAATGCCTCCCTTTTGTATTGGCATGGTGTTACTTTTTAAGCTTCCCTAAGAATGCTAAATTTATACTTGTTAGTGCTCTGGGTGTTTTTTATAACAGTACTTTTGCTACTAGAGGTTACATTAGAATTGTAGCACCAAAGAGAGGTTTTTCTTTCCTTATTTTTTCTTTAAAAAGAAGTAACCTTTTAAAGCACTGAAATTTTAAATCTCATTTCTGTTTTACCCTCAGCTGTATCCAAGGATTAAACCTAGACAAAGAAGCTTGGCATGAGACAGTACAGAAGCCAGATTCTTGAAGTACTAATCATAGATGACTTACAAACAAAATTCATTTTGTGTTAGTTCCAGTATCATGAGACTTATTTCAATGACAATGTAATTTGAAAGCTATGAAGAATGTGCTTTGAAAACAAATGAAGGATTGATGCATTAGCAAATGGATGAGGGCATTCTACAGGATGAAATAATGCGTACAAGCAAATGAAATTCTGCTCCCTTTGGGCTAAGCAAGCAGTTATGTTCAAGTACCCACTCTGATTTCTTCAAACATGGCAGAAGAGGATTTAACATTTTTCTGCATTAAAAACAAGGACCTTTTCAACTTACCATTAAAGGAATCATCATGAAACAGACAACTTGGCTTTGCCCAAATTTATCCTGAGGCTTTTCCAGATGGGAGAAATTACAATAAAGTACGTGCACAGCACCCAAATGCTGTTTGATGGAAGCAGGCGGCTTGTTGAAGAAGCTAAAGTGAAGTGCATCTGAACAAGGACAACACATGACCACTCCATTAAGCAATAACTTTTTTAAAAGCTGTAGCATCTTAGGAATTCCATGTATTCAAGGTATTATGTGCTATAACAATGTAGTTCTAGATTCTTCTTTTTACAAAGAGGCTCATGTATTTATTGTATTTTGTACTTTGACAACTAAGTGTAGAAACTTTCTGTAGTGACTGACTTGTTTTTACTTGACTGTGATACCATTAAACTTTTGTCTCCTCTTAACTCTGGCTATTTTAATGTTGAGTTCTTATTAGACAGAAAATGTTAACAGTAAGACACTGCTGTTCTACATTATGTTAACATTTGACTATTTTCTGTATAAAATTGAACCCATCCTTCCTGGTTTGTTCAAAACAGCCTTGCTGCATTTAAAATTAAGCCATACCTGCTAGTTGCATGTAGCCTCTTAACCTTAGAAGCTAAGGGACATTCTTAAGAAAGAACACAACTATTTTCTAAAGAAAGCCTTTCCCTTGGAACTATCACTTATAGGTATCTACTTGGCAATAATCACTTGATAATGGACACTATTTATAGAGGATCAAATCTTTCTGTAAGGATATTTATGATGTGCTTTACTACCTTACCTTTCAGGCCCCTGTTTCCCTACTGGGTAAGTCCTTATTGCTTTCTGAAAAGGTACCCGTAAGTACAAGAAATTTTATAGGAAGGAGAACACAACTCCTGAGATGAGTAAGCTTAAGTCAGCAGTAGAGAGAACTCTTGGAAGCAGCAATCTGCTCATCTTCACAGCCTCATGCTTTTAATAGGCTGGGCATGGGGGTATATAGCATTACTTATCTGTCTTGGAAACTTACAGTTTTTCAAGCATTAATCTTTTAAAGTATCAGAGCATTTCAGCCAGAATGCTGTTTCTGTCCTTTAAAAGGCAAGACATGCTGGTCCTGACAACACAAGCTCTGCATGTGCTCTGTGGTGATCCTTTTAAGAAACAATGTTACTTGCAGAAGGAATGAGTCTGTTATTTCTACTGTTTTTATTTAAATACTTTGTATTTCAAAGGAAGATAAATAAGCTACAGGAAATCGACATTCCACCTGACAGCATGTGCTTTCTCTTGGAAGAGTCTGGTTGCCAACAGGTTTCTGCTGCAGGCACATCAATGGTCAGGAGGGAAAGGACTTGTCCTTCAGCTTGGTCAAATGAGTACTTGCGACTCAGATTCTTCAAAGAATATTTAACCAGAATAATGCTGGGGGGCACTTGATAGAAGGCATACAAAGGATGCTGTATTCAGAGATATGCAACACCATCCCTTTTCTAGCTTCAGATATGCAGGATGCAGTGGAGCTGCTGTTAGTCAAAAAGCACTGATTAAACCAGGCTGTCAATCTATAATGAGCCTTCTTCCAGAAGTCATGTAAAAACACCTTAAATACAAAGGTATTCAAAGTACTTTCAAAAGTCACACTGAGGATTTATTCTAAATTAAGCTTTTGCACAGAGGGTACATTGTAATATAGATAAAGACTGTCAGACCCATAAAATGAGGTTGTAGAGCTGTCTGTTCTTGAAGTTGAACACTTTCCTTCTTATATCACTGTGTGCAAGATTTGCCATACATAAGTTAAGGCACATTCCTGTTGGGGTATTACTTGTGAGTCTGCTTGATTATCTTCACCTGGTACTGCTTTTTTTTTTTGAGGTGGCTTCAGCTGTCAGTGACTCAAATGACAGTAATGCACAGCCACTATAAAAAAAGAGAGAAAATGGCCCAAGGTTAAGTTTAGTAAAAACACCTGTAGCAAGTATCCATTTCTAGCATGAAGAGGAAAGTCTATTATTACAGAGGTAATTTTAGTGTCCTTACTGAAAGATGCAAATTTAAATCAGTATCACTTTAGACAGACTTTTGGAGGATGATTTGTGCATTCCTCCTTTAGGTCCAGAAAGAACTGCATGCAGGTAATAAGTAAGTTCAACGTGTAGGAGGGTACTTTTCTCCTGACTTACTCCTTTCTACAGGGCACATACAGTGCAAAAGGCAACAGACATTGTCAGTACCATGTGTCACTGCTGCACTTGTGTTTTACCCTGGCATTGACAGAAAAGGCAGGGAAGAAGCCTGTGTACAAATCTGCTCCAATTACTGCCAGTAAGGGATAAGTGGCTCAGGTTAAGGTAACCTGGCCTGTTTGGTACAGAATACAACATGATGGAGGTACACTGTAAGAAAAGAAAAATAAAAAGGGTAACCTTTCTTAAGGCTGCTTATGAATACACAAGCTATATAAAACCCAGCATATATGTGAATACACATAACCAGCCAGGATCAGTCAGAAGGGAGCAGGACAGTCTTTACTCTTAAACACTCCCTGCCCCCCAAAAAATAATTAAAAAAAAAAAAAGCTAGTGTTTTGGAGCTAAATGAACTTACATTAACAAGGTTCAATTCTATTGTTCCAGTTTTCTCAGTATCCAGTTTTCTAAACATTTCTGTGGAAGGAGAGAGATGATAGCAAGGATGAATACAGGAATGAACTGGAAACCTTTCCCCTTCCTTAGACTTCAATATCGAAAGGGAATTTAGTCCCACAGTCTAAAGTTTTACAGTGCTCTACACCCCAAACCAGAAAGGGCTATGCTAAAGTCACTGCACACTCCTGTGGAAGAACAACACTGAATATTTTAATGGTTCAGTCTGTAATATTTACACTATTTGCCAATTTATGTGTTTGCACTGATTCTTTGTCTTTAAGTCAACATGCAGTTGTTTGCACGGATGACTAACTGGCTGTGGTTCAGCGGCCTGGCCTAAAATGCTGGTTCCTTGATCTAGGAGGAGCACGCAGACCAGGTTGCCAGATTTATAGCTCAGCTTTGAAGTTGTGTTGGTTCCAGTACAAAGTTTTCTGAATACTTTGTTGTGGCCTTGAAAACCCAAACCAACAGAGTCCCTCTGGTCATTAAGCGTGTACTCACTGAACAAGGTTTCCAGCCGAATCAAACACCGGACAAAGTTATCAAAGTCAACGATGAGGTCTTCATCAGCAAAACGAGCCACAATGATTTGATGTAACTGGCAGTTCAATTTGAACCCTAGAAATACAGAGTCAAGGATTTAAAGGACAAGATGACAAAGAAAGAAAAATGCAAAAAGCTCCAACCAACAAAGAAACTCCAATCTTCTACACTGCCAGAAACCTAGTAAGCTACTTTTGGTTAAATGCTCAAATTTTAGGAATATTTACTCCCTTTTGGAAACTCCCAACTACCTCTTCTGTACTTGGAATGATTTTAAGCTGTGATTATGTCACGTGTGTTGTTCCTGGTTTGTGTGCTCCTACACTTGTACTCCCATTGCCCAGGGGACACGGCCACTTGCTCCAGCTCCTGCTCCTTTCCAGGGTGTTGAGGCGGCTGCCTCTGAGAACACAGCATTTTTTAAGCTTACAAGTGATATACAGGAGAGTAATGAGCATCTAACAACCCAGCTGGAAACAGATATAATCCTAGAAAAGAGACAGACCAATATGGATACCTGCTGCTTCCAGCGCTCTCCTCATCTCATACGAGTTCATGGTACCAGATCGATCCACATCAATTTCCCTGTAAATTTTCTGCAGAACATAAAACCCAAAATCAAAACTTGACAATAATTCAGAGCATGTTTTGGCTTTTGTCAGAAGTCAAACATTTTGAAATGCAGCCTGCACTTGCTTAGGAGCCTTTGCAGTGTTGGTCCGAAGGACTAAGTACACATCCTTGAGTTAATCTAAAAGTGGCTTTGGAAAGTACGTCTTTTTAATGCAGCAGCCAGAGCAGGCCAAGACACCGGAGAATTCCCTGAATGCCGGTGCAAAATGGCACTATTGCTACCAAAGCAGCACGACTGACACCAAACTCTAAACATATCTGAGGGTGAATTAAAACAAAAAAGCTCCCAGAGAGTGGGCAAGGAAAAGAGGCAGCCCCTTCACTTGGGGCTGAAGCAGTCGCACCCCTGGGGTCCCAGGGGCAAAACATGGGTGACTGAGGACACAAATGCATTATGAGCTGATGGGAAGTGTGACTGTATACACTGGACCAGGCAACTACGTCTACAGCCACCTCCACATTTGATTGCACTACATGCGATAAAAATAGGTTGCATCTTTCTTACCTGGTATTTCTGAATCTTTGTCCAGAGGGTGTGGAACTCCTTCAGGCCCAGTTTACCACTCCCATCGTTCTTGTTTGAGTTAAGGTAAGCTCTTTGGAAGGAAGGAAAAGGGTTTCCCCTCCCTGCACTGGGTTTACTTACATGGGCAGTTGTGACTTAATACTTTAAAAAAATTGCAATTAAGAAAAGGATGCTGTAAGCATTTTCTGCTTCTCCTTTGGCAGCTCCCTGTCTTTTCAATACATGTAATAAACAGCCTCAATTATGCCATTTTATTCTGCATCCTTGGTTCAACACCTGCAGTTACAGGAGGATGAGTCCTAAGTCTGGATTATAAACAGGAAAAGCCACAACCAAACCTGCTATTTGGAGAAGTTAAGTTCTTGTGCAAACAGCTAACAAAAGCATCTGGTCATTGCACTGCTCCCAAAACCCACTAAGGAGTCCTCACCAACTGCTATATTTTACACCAAATTATAGCAGAGCATCGTTCTGTTTTGGTAACTTTCCCTTTTTCTGACTATACAATTCAACTCCCACTGCACAGAAAAGCTGAACACAGCTGTTCTTAGACTTGAATCCTCCATCCTACATCTTTGCGCTTATTCTTAGGAGCAGAAGCTCCTAAAAGCCAGCATGCTCTCTGGCTTCTGTATTTGTTTCTCTCATTTTCTATTTGCTAAGTCCTCAAGGCTTTATGATGACCTCACCAACTCCAGCCAGATAACAAAGCAGCAAAATGCAATGTTCCAATTCTACTACCAAGGCAATTCACACCATGCTGAAAGCCAGGTGCCTTTTTCCAGCACAAACATCACTTTGTCACCAGCTAAACCAAACCTTCAGCAGCTGGGAAGGCTTCAAAGCAGATCCTCCTGTCTGAAAACAGCTTCTCCCCACTGCCTGGGAGGATGCATGTGCCACAGTCAGCAGCAACAGCAAAGGCTACCATCTTTATTCACGGGAACCCGGGTAAAACCAGCTTCTCTACCTAAGGAGTCAATAGTACATCTATATGGATCCACCACTGCAAAGCAGCAGCTCACCTACTCCGACACAGGCAGAAAAACCATCATCTAGCCTTAAAGGATACATCTAACAGGTCAACCATTATTTTGCATGTCTCAATACTAAAGCCATCAGACTTAATATCTTTACCTGTAAAGAAAGAGCAAAAGACAGGATTATCATTGCAAGCTTTTCCACAGCACCTTCTTAAATAGCTCATGAGCTCTGTAACCAGTGTACACACCTCAGCCCTTACCTGCTTCTGTGTCACTGGTGGCTTCCTTTGCAATTGGCAAGGTGACTTTTTCATTTTGGTGTGGTTTTTCTGCTTCTATGTGATGTGTGCTTAGTGCTTTACACTGTGATCTACACCTGCTAGTTACTTAATGGCAATTCACTGCCTACTTCAAATCCTCTCCTGGAAATAGGTGTCCAGCTGTATCCTCACCACAGCCTGCGCCAGACCACTTCGAAGTATGGTCAGTGGGGTCGGGACTTGCCAGCAAGGAAAAGCTTCAGGTGGGAGAACATGTGAAAAGAATTATAAGGCTGGTGGCAGAGGGCCCTAAGGTGGTCCCTGTTTTGCACATGAGAGGGACACAGCACTGAAGCAGGCAAATGGATGCTAATAAGCAGCCCTCTGATTTCTTGGCAAAGAGGCTTAGGGTGAAAGTTTGATGTGATGTTTCCCCAAGCAAAGAGCCTGGTTAGTCTGGTTTGTAGCTGTGCTACAGAAGCAAGAGACACAGATAAGCTGTCCTGCACTTACTGTCTGCCTGCAAAGGCAAAGGTGGACTTTAGTGGACAACGTGGACTTCTGACCTAAGGATGTCAGTGGTAGGTAGCTTCATGCAAGGGAGGAACATCAAATCAAGCTTGGTAACCAGCAATACTCCACTGCTGTCTGGTGCACACAGACACACAACACAGTCCTGGCTACCTGCAAGATTTCACTTTGGAAATTAGAGACACTTATTTCTCCAAGCATTTTTCTTTAGCACTGTTTAATGGACAGGAAAATAATGCAGAGGGACACCTCAGACCATTGGCTGGGCTACTGTTTGAATCCCGAGTGGTTCAATACTAAAGCAGCAACACCTTCTCTTTATTATTGAGCATTAAGCAAATCCATCCATCCTCCTGACAACCGATTCCCAGTAGCAGATGCTGGGAAAAAAGGCACCCATCCAAAGCACAAGCCCTGTGAAGCACCCCTTCAGTGCAGACACAGCCCCAGCGTCTCCACAGCCCCCTGAAGACACAAGAGACAGCGCAGGGCCAGAGCCATTTGGAGAGCCAAGCCGCAGGTAAGGGGCACAGCCCAGGGGTTTGACCCTGCCCAGGCTGGTGCTGCTCTCTGTGCTGAAAACCCACTGGTGGCCAACGGAAGGCACAGTTGGGGGAAGGTACTTACGTTTCGCCATTATTTTATTCAAGATGTTGCGCAGTTCAAAGGCGGAGATCTCTGCATCCTGCAGAAAAGAACAGAACAAGTTCTTCAGTGTGAGCTGCAGACACCATCTCAGCAGCAGCCTCTGACTCCTTTGGGTGAGTTGGTGAAGTTCAAACATCCCGTGGTGTTCAAGTTCCCCTTGGATGGAAAGGCAACTGGTAAAGCTCTACCACCAATTCCCAGGCATCAGCACACCAGGCTGATGAGAAGGCCCAGCCCAGCTCTCATCTCCCAGAAGGGACCTATGCATCTGCACCAAATGCTGTGCCCCGAGGACAGAATTAGGGACCTGCAGGGATGAAAGTGGAGCCTCCTGTTTAAAGAGAGCAGAGCTTGTTTGCCAGAAGCGCTCACAAACCCATTGTATAAGCAGATGAGTAACTACACAGATCTTTGCATGCACAATTATGCACATGCTGGAGATCTGACTCAGCACGGGAATTACACCTCCGTCCCGGGGGAGGCATCCCTCTTACCCACGGTACTGGTGAGATGTTAACAGAAAAATACTCACACTTCCTGCTAGCTGTCCAAAAAGCTTTTTAAAGCTGGGTTCAATGTCTTCTTCACTGATCTCGGTCTAGAGAAGAGAAAGAGAGAATATAGAAAGGAGAAACTTTTCTGTCTGAGGAGGACTTAAAGTACTTCTCTGCCCTAGTAGAACACAATTTAAATGGCAAAGTTGAAGGTAGAGTGCTTTGACTTTGATTTTAAACAGTTCTATTTTCAGGGGTGCCCCAAAATGCTAACACTGCAGGAATTAAGAACTTTTACAATGGCTTTCACAAAAATACATTAAAAAATTAAAAAAAAAATAAATTACTGGCATTTTATTTAAAAAAAAAAATCACACCTAAATTCAGAATTTCATTGCTACTACTATTGTTGGAATGTCTTAATTTAAAGAAAAGCAAGCAAAATGTAGCTCTCATCTAGCAAAAAAGCAAAGACAAAACCAAAAACCACTCCCCAGGAAAACCCACACCATCCTCAGCTCCAGCAAGACTGAACAGATGATGTCGTTTCCATGAGTAAGCAGTGGCTCACCATGTGCAAAAACACCCCTATGGGTAAAGGGCTGCACTCCTGGAGACCACTGGGGATTCCTCGTGGCTCCAGTTGCCTCTGCAGGCAGCCCCTGGTCTTGTCTGCCTGGGGAGCCCAAGCTCACTCCCGTGGGCAAGGGACAACACGTGGCTTCATTATTGATTATGATGTTGCCATTTGCTGATGTTTCCATTGTTTCACATTCAGCTAGGGATATCCAAAGATCTGTTTCCAAAGTGGGACAACAGTTCTTGGTCATACCTATAGGAAAACGCTGCCCTGCACAAGGGAACAGGCACTCAAACCCTACTTATTTACAACAAAATTATCTCAATTTAAGATATTTAAGTTAAGATATACCTCTTCAAAATTGGCCTCAATTTTGTCATCTATAACCCTAGAATGATAAAAAAAATCAGTATTAAAAACAAGACAAGTCCCTTTTCTGATGCTCATCCTTCAAGTTTCAGTTAAAAAGGGATTCATTACATTATGGGAATAATGACGAGTGTTCAAAGCTGAGAGGTCACCAGATTAAATCAGTCACAAAGACTGCATGCCACCACTGAAAGCAGTATTTCGCCAGCTATGGCAACAAGAGTTTCAAAATACATTACAAACTCTGCAACATCCTGTGGAGCCACAGACAGGATTTTGGGTCAGACATAGCCCTTCAGGTGACTTAGTGCCACTGCCTACAGACCTCAGCACAGAACCAGGCTCTCGGGTGCAAATCAAATTTTAGCTAGTCAGTTTTTTTGCCTTTTTCTTATTTTTTCTTTAAAACTGCAAAAGTGAGAGCCTCAGTGTTAATCTGATGTGCCAGAGTGGGAGAAGTGTTTCACACTGTCCCATAGCTGCTGTGGGAGCATCACACCTACGGATGGTGCATGAACACTGCTAAGGGCACATCAAAAGCTGAGCATGCCTCTGCACAACTGACATCCCAGTTTTCTCACCCCTACAGAAACGTGCAATGAAAGATTACAGAACAGTAGAAAGGGTTTTGCTTGCTTTGAATTAGGGAACTCAAGATGAAAGATCCCACACCTCTTTCCAAGGCCTTAGCCCAGCTGCTCTTTAAGATGCGACACATCTGATTTTTTCAAGGCTTACACGGTTACAAGAAAGCTACATACACGGAGTTCGCATTTTTTTCAGAGAAGACTCGCAGACAGAAATCCCCGTTCTTGTTGGGTTCGAAGGTGGAGGGCACGATGATGTATTCCCCTGCCGGGAGCTCAGCACCTCTCGGAGGTTGATGAAGGTATTTGACCTTTCTCTTGCTTTGTTGGTCAGGAAAAAGTTTTTGCTCAGATGAATATTTGTCTGGCCAGAAAACTTACGAAAAGCAAAGGAAAGAAAAAACCCCCATAGTTTACATGCATTTACATTTACAAATTAAAAATTTACTAAAAATTTTAATTAAAAAAAAATCAATTTTTGGACCACTAGGGTGACAGCTGAGCAGCTGACAACTGCTAAAGCACTCCAGAGGTATGTAAGAAATGTAATTAACTGGCACCACCATTTCCTTCCTGATGAAACCATGTTTTCCATGGCAGCAGCTGGTTTGGGCATAGCCTCTGGAGCCCCAAGGTGCCCTGGCTGCTTTGCATGCACCCTCATAGGTACAGCAAGCCCCGTAATGAGGTTACCCTGGCATTTTGGCTCAACCTCACTTGTTCGCCTGAGGAGCAACAGCTCAGAGGTGTCTGCAGCCTTGCCATGTATTGCATAGGCATGACTGCATTGCACACCCCACTCTGATCCCTGGGGCAAGCTATCTGCAGGTAGAAACAGAGAGAAACCAATAAAGACGGTGCTTAGGGAAATGAAAATACACACCACATTGGGATATTGGTTGTGTGTCAAACATGAAATCTGGGCAAACCTGAAAAAAGCAGCTGTGGTCTAAGGGAGCAGGTGTGGGTCTAGGCTTGGAGAAGACCCCTGGAAGAACAGCTTTGGTGAGTTTCTGCAGTACAGAGAGCTCTTATCCCAACCCAAAGTCCTCTAAAAATGTGACATGGGCTCAAAACCACTTCCAGAATAAACACCCTCTAACTTCAGACTGCACAGGCAACACTGTCCTGCAGTGAAGGAGGATCTTCTGAACCATTTCTTCCCTCAAGCCATTCAGCCTCAACTCCGCACCTTAACCACCAACGCATGCCACATACCTCTGGGGGCACCTGCAAGGAGAAAAGGAGAGAGTTATTTCTTATGAAACTGCAGCTCCAGGGCTACTTCTTTTCACTGTTGGTGAGTGGGTACATACACACCCTTGAAAAAAATGTCAACTTGAGGGGGAGTGTGGGCACTGAGCCCGTATCTCCTGACCCCTAACCACTGACCACTGAGCTCCCAACACTATCCTGGAGGGAGGCAGGGCTCACCCAAGGCAGTGCAGGCACAGCCTGGCACAGATGCAGCCAGGGCTGGCCGTGTTTTCCTGTCAACTCTCTACTCTGTAGCTCACTGTGGAACACCCACACAGCTCTTTGGGCTGGCCTGGGAACAGTCAGTGATGTTCTTTATATATTCAGTTTCTTCTACTACTTCTTCCCATCTCCTCTTTCACCCTCCTGCCTCCTCAATCATCAGAAGAGGAAGCAGGGGCTGAGCAAGACAATAATAAAGTTTTCTGTTTACTTACGGGTCGAGGGGACATAGCTTGGCTTTAAATCTTATTTGCCCATGGGGACCAGATTCTCTGACAAGATTTTTCAAAGCTGGGATACTGAGAACACAAGCAGTTGCACATTTTGCCTATGGCTACAGAGCAAACAGGCAAGACCATTATTCCTATTTTCACTGCCAGTTAAGCACCGCTGCTTTGCAGTCCTGTACAAAACATCCTGCTTCAGGAGTTACCATAGGCACATCTCTGACCCTTCAGCAGAAGGATTTTTGCAGGTGTTTTGGCTGGTTCTGCTGCTGGGTTCACACTCCCCAAGCTAGCGCAGGTGTCCCAGCTAGAGTCACATCCCTACGATGACTGCTCTCATTCTGCCGCTTTTCACCACAGTCTGACAAATGAAGGGCAGACTGCATTTCTGCACTTTTAATTATTTTTTAAATACTTTTTCTGCTCCTCCATTTAGAAGCACAGAATTTTATAGGTGCAAAGGGGCCTCTGTAGGTCATCTGGTCCAACCTCATATTCAAAACAAGGCAAATATCAGAGATAGATGAGATCCAGTCTAGGTTTTACTCTGTCCAGTAACACAGCATCTCTCTGGGTACCTGTCCTTGTGCTTGACCACTGTTTTGGTGGAGGATAACTTTCTAAACATCTAAGTGGACTTCTCTTTGCTGCAGCTGGTGACTGACTCAACCCAGCTGTAGAAAGCCCAGTATGAGAACTGCACTACCTCATTTATAGAGTGTTTTTCTTTTCCTCCCAGGCACCTGTATTGCCTTACTTGCCTCATAAATTGCAAAGCCGATGGTGTGCATGTCCTCTCCCATCTTCCTCTGCTTCCGCCGGTGCTTCTGAATCAGGCCAATGAGGAAAGTGCAGCCCCTCTCAGGATCATCGGGATCCTCATCTTCTTCCTCCAGCTTGATCAAATACTGTGGATTTGTCCAGAAAGTGTCTGGGAATTGGATTAATGCAAACTGCTCAGAGGCTTCTTTGAAAGCAGCCATGCTGATACAACACATGTCAAGTAGGACAGATGTGGCTCTGACTTTCAAAAATCAGCTGTGAGAAGGAAAAACTAACAGACCCCAACTCAGCTTTTACCACCACAACTAGACCCTCATCAGGGAGCCACATTTCCCAAACACTTGCACTTTTTGGACATCAGTCCTGGATATCCCAGCTACATCCTCCTCCTCCACAGGCCACCCCAAACCAGCTCCCAGAAGCAGCTCCCAGAGAAACGACAAGTGGACAAGTGAAGGGTTTCTCCAGTTTCTCTTACTTGGATAATTCCTGCAGCCCCCTGCAGTGGCTCCTCGCCTCCAGTTCCCATCCAGCTTCAGCAGGCTCCACTTCTTGTACGTGTCGCTTGCCAGGGTGTCTGGAGTTAGGTTGCAGATCTCCAGGCGGGAGTAATGTCTCAAGAAGTCGTTGAACGCCATCCTGTGGGAGGCAATGCCATATACAACATCTCCTTAGAGCGGACAGGTTTTCTACACCACCACCTTGTCTATTCTCCCTCTCTCCCACTGCAATTTATCGCTAAGATGTGGGGTGAATTTACTCACTCTTCTTGGAGAGTGCACTGGGAGAGTTTACTTTGTGTGGACAAAAAGCAGAGGAGAAGACATTCCCTTCAGCCTGAATGGAAACCCAGCACTACTTACCAAAATTCCCCATCTTCATGCCTCCTGGTCAGCCGCTCCCGCACCTCAGGGTCAACACCGCTCCAGTTTGGGCAGCTGAAAGACAAGTCCACATCAACTATAGGATACAGTAGAGGTTAAACTCTAATGTGGCTGTTCTGGTACAACAGTGTCACTTTCTTACAGCTCCACACGATTGCAGTACTCCACAACATCTAGCTGACAGTAGATCCAGGGCTCTCAAACCATAGCAGAACTAAAAAGCAAGGACCTGGGATATTCAATACCTCACTTCTTAAAACACCCAAGGTAAGGATCAAAACCAGTTTCAATTGCAGAAAGTGCTAATGCTTTGACTGGAACGGAGCTTTATTGTAGAAAAAGAAAGACCCAGAATAAATATTCCCCAGCCACAGAAGTGGTTCCATCTTTCATTGCTAACAACTGGGAGGGATTTTTAAAGCCCTTTCAGAAATTAAGTTTTCAGAAGCTCACTACTGAACCTAAACTGTTAAAGAAGCAGAAACTATAGAGGCTTGTAGGAACCACCAACCAAATGACTGCATCTTCCATGAGCGCAGGTGTTTGTATGAAGGGCATCACATGCTGTGACCCCTGCGTGGGAGATGACAGTGGTGGGACGCTTCTTACAAACAGCTCAGAGTGAACATCACATCAAGATGTGACTTAGAGAAGAATTTGAGGTAGGGAGAAGACAGGTGACAGCAGAAACAAGATTGTACCCCTACTGTAAAAACCTAGGGGCAATGCACAAGCCATGGACTCACTTGTCGTTCCATTTTCCAGTCCACTCCACTTCCCCCCAGGGATTTCGGATTCTGATCAGCTTCTGCACCGTTCCTCGGAAGTTCACCTGATGAGACCAGAAGTGTATGGAGAGTTACCCAGAGACTCAGCACTGCCCTCCCTTCCACCTTTTCTAGGGGAATTAAAGGACACAACAGAGTACCTCAGTGCTACACAAACTCAAGTGTATTTACACAAACACACACTCATTTGGTCTAAAAGACATGAAGTGAAACTGATTCTGAATGAGCTTCATGCACTCAAGCTTGTCCAGAGAAGGTTTTTCTGCATTCAAAGCTTGTGATAACCAAAATGTCTGCTTTGTGCCTCTAAAAGTTACCTCTGATAGGATTTAAAGCAGAGGGAACGTAAAACTGCTATAGGACTGCCAAAAAGCAAGTACAAGGGCATATTTCTCTAAAACCATCATCTATCTGTGAACTGCTCTTTCACATCCAAATGCCTTTTTCCCCACCTCCCTATATATAATCTGAACTGCGCTTATTACAAGAGATGGGATCCTCAGTCTGGCCACACCACATGAATGCCCCACGGTGCAGAGGTGTCAGCCCTGCCGTGACAGCACCTCCTCACACTGTGCCAAGGCCCTGGCCTGTTTTCTGCTGATCTCCATGTGCAGAGTACAGGCCAAGCAAAGCTGTAGGAATTTCAGCGGGAACACCCAGTATTTATGGGGAACACATGGCACTAATCTGAGGAAGGAGCTGGCACACCTCTAGAGCCCAAAGCCGAGAAAACAGCACAGAGCAGCAGCAGTGCAGAGCCCAGAGACGATACCCTGGTGCTTAAGGTGAACTATCCTTACAAAGCCTGCACCTATCTCCAAAGGAAAAGCCTGGCAAGTCAAGTCTCCATGAATTAAGGGCAACAAATTATCTCTTTGCTTTTGCTTTGAGAGGAGGACCAAATGCAAACACATCAACCTGCCCATTAATGGTGTTCACCTCTGTGCAGCATGTCAGCGACTTTCTGCACCTCACTCTGAAGTTTCAGGAATTATTTCGGAACAACTACCAGCAAAGGGACTGAAGGTCTATCGCACGCGTGGAAGGACACCATGAACCATTTCCTTTGTTTTCACTTGCTGTACCTTCACAAGTCACCTACTCTTAGACCTTGTGTCCGAACACCGTGTCCTGCTACTTTTAGGCACTATTTAGCAGGCATTTAAAGGACAATTTTTTATTTTTTATTTTTTTTGTTTTGCTTGGTACATGTCTCTTGCAGATCTTGCTGTGCATTCTAGGTACCATGCTGCCTACTATACAGAAAAGTGTTGAAGATCTCGGTCACCAGCAGAGGGTAGTGTGCCCTCTGCACAGGGCTTCCTGCTGCCCCTCTCACAAGGAAATAGCAGTGCTTATGGAAAAAAAAGGTGCTTTTTTAGACAAATTCTCAATGAGTCAAGTTTACATTTATCAAAAACACACCAAATAATTTGTAATTTCTTCAGAAAGAAGCGACGCAAAACCTGATTCAACAAAATGGATGAGTATGAAGAATTTGCCAAGTTCACAGAAACACAGAATATTAGGAGCTGGAAGGGACCTCAAAAGATCATCCAGGCCAACCCCCCTGCCAGAGCAGGATCACCTAGGCTAGGTCACACAGAAACACATCCAGGCGGGTTTTGAATGTCTCCAGAGAAGGAGACTCCACAACCTCTCTGGGCAGCCTGTTCCAGTGCTCTGTCACCCTCACAGTAAAAAAGCTTTTCCTCATATTCAGATTGAACCTCCTATGCTGCAGCTTGCTCCCATTGCCCCTTGTCCTGTCATTGGCTATCACTGAGAAGAGCCTGGCTCCGTACTCCTGACACTTGCCCTTCACAAATTCATTAATGAGGTCACCCCTCAGTCTCCTCTTCTCCAAGCTAAAGAGACTCGGCTCCCTCAGCCGCTCCTCATAAGGGAGATGCTCCACTCCCTCAATCATCTTTGTGGCTCTGTGCCGGAATCTTTCAAGCAATTCCCTGTCCTTCTTGAATTGAGGGGCCCAGAACTGGACACAATATTCCAGATGCGGTCTCACCAGGGCAGAGTAGAGGGGAAGGAGAACCTCTCTCGACCTACTGACCACACCCCTTCTGATACACCCCAGGATGCCATTGGCCTTCTTGGCCACAAGGGCACATTGCTGGCTCATGGTCATCCTGCTGTCCACCAACACCCCCAGGTCCTTTTCTGCCTGGCAGCTTTCCAGCCATTCATCCCCAAGTCTGCAGTGCTGCACGGGGTTATTGTGACTGAAGTGCAGGACCCAGCACTTGGCCTTATTGAAGCTCACACAATTGGCCTCAGCCCATGGATTCAGCCTATCCAGGTCCCTCCACAGAGCCTTCCAACCCTCACGCAGATCAACACTCCCTTCCAACTTAGTGTCATCTGCAAACTTGCTGAGGGAGCACTCAGTCCCCTCATCCAGGTCATTGATAAAGATGTTAAACAGGACTGGCCCCAAAACCGAGCCCTGGGGAACACCGCTTGTGACTGGTCGCCAACTGGATTTAGCTCCATTCACCACAACTCTCTGTGCTCAGCCATTCAGCCAGTTTAAGTTGAAGAGGATTTTGTGGTTGCCGTGCCCTGGGGAGGCTATACAGGAAGCTTGTTGCATTTACCCCCTTTGAGGAAGCACACCTACCTCCTCAGCCCTGGTGACCGAGTATGCATGTCCCTTCACCAGCTTCTGGGAAGTGACTGCCTCTGTCTCCGCTGCACTGGTGATCTGGAGGAGCAAAGAAAGTCAGTGAGTGTGGCTTCCCATCTGCCAGGGAACCAATGGAGCAAAGCCTCTCCCTTTAACAGAGCCTTAATCTCGCTGGGAAGCTGCAGAGGTGGTTCAGCTGCTGCACAGGGGCAACGAGAGGGATCCGAGTGACAGAGCAAAGAGAGGGGATGGCAGAATACAGGGTGGTGCTGGAGACCCAGGGCCTACATTTGTGGCATGCCAGAAGCCCTGCACCACAGGAAAGCTCCCTCTGGGCTCCAGAACATTTGAGGTGGTGCATGCCCTCTTGTGCATCTCCAAACCCTATACAAAGGGCATACACACAATGAACTCCATGTTCTCCAGGGACCGGGAGGAACACAGAGGATGACTGGCCTGAGGCTGTCAAGGTGTCACTGGAGGTAACACCCAGGTCCAGCAAGCCCCAGTGTTTTGCTTCTAGGTCAAAACACCACCTTAAGCTTCACAGCAGGGTGAGAGGCTTTCCTTCCTTTCCCCAGCACCCTGGGACCTGCTGTACAGGGGAGCAAGGCTGCGCTCTGGATGCCATTCATATCTGAAGGCACATCACCCTCTCACTTTTTCATGGTGATTATGATAGTCAGGCAGCCTGGCTTATAAACACTACAGAGAAAAAACACTTCTTGCTAGCAAGTGGCCGCTTGACATCTTGCCTAAACCTCTATGAAATGTATGCTTACCATTGCCTTCCCACCACTTCAGAAAGTGTGTGATCTTTAAACAAGCATAGCTGAAGCTTAAAAAAAGAGGGAGAGTGGGGTCAAGCAGTTTCCTGCTGTCGATTCATGCCCTCTTACTGCCTGCAGCGCACTCTCCAGGTAACGCTTGACCTCTGTGTCCCTATTTCTCTCACAGAAGAGAAGATTTCACAGGGTTTTTTTTAAAGGCTAAACCTACTAATAACTAGTTTACGATATAGAAAGTTTCAGCACTTACCAACAAAAGAATGTATTTACTTCCCAACAAGAGATTTGTATCATTTCAGAGCAAAAATCCAAATGTCAGATACTTATCTAAGTGCAAATGAGTAAAACAGGCCTCAAAAGTGCTGCGAAGTTGCACGCTGACATTAACCAAGTACTTTTCCTGCTGTGAAGTTTCCCTCTCCTGTGACTCCAATTTAATTTTAAAAATGGGAGGAAACACTGGAGTTTGTGTTATGAATGTAGTCCCTCTAAATAGTTTACTATCCCTTTAGACACAACTAAGATGTAATCTCCTTTGGGAGCAAGGTGACTACCATAAAAACAATACTGAGACTCATTTTGGTGAGGCTAGAATGATGCTGAATTCTTGTAGTCAGGGATAAAGCTTCTCTTTTCCTTCTGGCGCACGTTCAGCTTTTGGCAACATGTTTTCTGATGAAGCCTTTTAAAGTCCTGGCAACAGTCTGAGCCTCCCTGCTTCAAGAACAGAGCCCTTATTTTTGGGGAACATTTTGGTACAATTTGTGCGACAAACAGGCTACAGCTAGGACAGAGGTTGCCACTTCTGAGCATTTGACTGCAGGAGCCACCAGCAGCAGCTTTCTGTCCAAACTCACTCAGCGTGTACCAACCTACTGCCAAGCTGCAGGCTTTCCTAAGAATGAAGATGTACACCCTAATGAGTTCCCTGTATGATTTGTTACCACAAAACTATGAAACAGCAAAAGCTCTAGATTCTTAAGGAAGAAACAGAAGGCAGGCAGCGAGCTTTTACACATGAACTAATGAAGTCTACATTTCAACCTAACCCCCCAGAAAAGCATGCGCCTAAGTCATGCTTGTGGGTCAAATTCTCCAGACAAAATACAGAGCAAAGAGGGGACCAGCATGCTCCGTGCACCTCCTGTGGATGGAGCTCAGGTCCACCCTGCTGCTGTCTCCACACATAGTAAGAGTTGAGTGCTCAACAATACGTCCACTAACTCACATCAATTGAGCAGCCAAGGAGAGAGCCTTTCTGAAGTGCCTTCTGGATGATTTTGAAGAGGTTGGGTGGTGCCTTCTGCAACTCATACCATTCTGCAATTCCACCAGTAAAGTCCTCGAAGCCTTCAGTGGTGGTGCCACCAGAAAGAGACTCATATGATCCATTCAGCCTGCACAGAAGGGGGCATGCACACACAATCATGAGGCTTCCTGAAGTCTTCTTCTCACACACACATCAGGCTCTTTACTCTCCTCTTCTCTTGGAGAGAGGCACTCAGCTGTGCCAACTATCAACAGCACCACAACAGCTACGAATGCGCCCTCCATTCAGCTTGGCTTTTTAGAACACTATATTTGGAAAGCCCAGCATAAAATCTTACATGATCATGTATACACATTGCAGGTTCAGTCATATCAGTGACAAAAATAATGAACACTATTGGAAGAAGAAATAGTATTAAAAATAATCAAGACCCAACAATTTGCCTCTCTAGTTCCACACAGTCTTTTAAACCCTTTAACAATGATGGGTCTGAATTTCAGCTGATCTAAATTAGCTCAGTTTCTTAAGTCAACTGAAAACAGCCATGTTTGATGGCAGAATGCCTCCCTGGCCACCCCAAAACTGGAACTTCAGATGTGACTACCTCCACCTTGAACAGAGACCTGGACACATGGACTGGTGTGCTTTTCACCCTGAAGCACTGCAGCCACAAGCCCTCACAGGTGTCACAGAGCACATGAAAGAGCTTCCCAGGCCCCAGTGACAGGAAATGGCACTGTAGGAACAGCCTTGCCATGAGATGCAAGAGCTATTTTTCTTGGCTAGCAAAAAAGCCAATACTGTTGCCTTAAAAGCACCTGTCGGCAAAGCTTTACTAAAACAGCTATCGTGGAATACCCTAGAAGTTGAAAAGGCTAGTAATTAGGCTGATATTTTTAATGCACAGTATCTGTGCAGTTGAGGATGCTATGGGGAAGCAGAGGCAATGGGAGATTTGAGCGGGGTGGAAGCCTGGCCTGGACTCACTTGGCATAGGCCTTCTCCAGCAGCGCACTCCAGAACTCGCTGCCCTCCGCCGAGTGCACGAAGAGTAGCTCCCCATTCTTGGTGGGCAGCCTGTCGTCCACCACCACGTCCACCCACTCCCCATACTGCCAGAACTGGAAAGAGAGCACAAACACCTCATCACTGCCCCATGTTGTGCACTTATGTCACCAGGACGTTTATCTGCTAACTGATTTTCCTAGAGGAAAAGCAACTCCCCTCACAGCCAGCTTTGCCCACCCTGTTCAGGGATGTGCTTCCTCAGCTGGATCTGCTGATGAAGGAAGGACCACAAACACAGCCCCTTCTTCCACCACCATCACCCTTCTTGGATGTCTCTGTTTTTCCGTCTGGCTCTTTGAGGTCCCTCAAAATGTTCCGGGAAACACCACACACGTAGACAACCCCAGCCACACCAGCTCCTGACCAACAGCACTGGGAGAAAGGTAGCCTGTTTTCCATCTACCTGGAAGTGGAAAATTCCTGCATATTTATCCCGGAAACTCTGGTCTTTGGGAACAACACGGGCCAGAATTTCTTCATTCAGGGTGAGAGAGGCAATAGCAGCCAAGAGCCAACAGTCCCCTGCAAAAAAAAGACACCGTTCATTAATCAAACTTTATTTGTTAGCTTTTGCACTGCATAGGGATTGTGCATTATTATCACTAATAACCCCCTTCATAGCGATGAGATAATCCCTCCCATCACTTCACCCCTAAGGCAGCTCAAATGCATGTACACAAATACACACCATTTCCAGGCAAGTGCTGTGTCTCCTCAAGAACAGAGGAGGAGGAGGAGGAGGAGGAGGACTGCTAGTAATAATAATAGTCATAATAATAATTTTAAAAAAGTAAAAGCAGACTTTTTATGATCTGCCAACACAGTTACCACTCTTGCTGGGACTACTTGAAAGAAGCCTTAATAGTCAATTGAGTGTCTACAGGTTAGGAAGCAGCATGGGGAAAAGGCAAAGAGCTGGGTCTGCGGGCACATGCAGGTACTCAGGGGTATCATTTCTCCTCAAAAGGTGTTTTCTCAAGCATAGGCTGGTTTCCTTCCCCTTCTCCATGTTTAATAAATGCCTGTTGACTTGCCATCTGCAGATTTGTCCTAGTGATGAGCTTCCTTTAAGGTCCCTGGCCAGACTCTGACCAAATAGGAGCTCCTTTCAGCTCATACATTGCTGGAGGCTTTTGCTAGAGGCCTCTCTGTTAAGTTCCACATCCAGTCACCAGAGAGTCAGGGAAGGTCTGAAGGCAGGCACTGTTCCCCAGTCCCACACACCTTTTTCCCCCTTCCTGGGATGGAGCCAACATACACTGAGCGTGCACGCTAGAGCCCCTGGGACCAGGCTGTCTGGAGAGTATTTTTCCACACCATCTCCTACCAAGCAGAGGGAGGAGGAGACCACAACTTTATAAACATTACCTCTGTTTTTCTAATTATTTCCAGAAACAAGCGTTACTTTAACAGAATGGTTACCTTTCTGCTCAGCCCATTAACAAGGTGATTAGAGATTTAAAGAACCAGCCCCTGACTCACACAACCCAACACAAAACTCCTTGTTACCGAGCTGCTGTTGCCTTGCTTTGTGAACACAGCACAGTTGGTTAGATCCCACAAAATGGTCCTGCAGCACATGTAGGATTGCAGGTTCAAGAAATGTGAACCAGGTGCAGCTGCTAGCAAGTCAGAGGCCAGCAAAGCAGTGGTTCCTATAGAGCCAGCTCTCTCCTATGGGAAAAAGGTCAAAAGCTCACAGGTGAGAAGCTGGTATTCAAACTGGAGAAAGTCTTGGGGAGAGTTAACTCTAAAGCAGCTCTTGAGAGCCACCCTCAAGCCCAAATCCATCTCCATCCCCACTCAGATAACACTAGGAGGAACACAGGCAACCTGCAGCTCCCCCCAGTCTGCTCATCTGTTTTCACAGCTGATCCCAGCAGCAGCTCTATGAATGACATTTGTCCCATGGCCCTTTTACCATCTCATGAAAGGTGGAAGATGTGAAACTCCAGAATAATTTCAAAACCTGAGACACTTTTACTATTTCATAACCTGGAGGGGAAGAACCGAACACAACTTGCCCTTCAGACTTGCCTCTGGCTGCTTGTACTGCAATGGAGAAATCATTGTGTCACAGAAGTTTCTCAAGCAGGAAAATCACTGCCATTCTCCTGTGACAGATTATGAAACAACAAAGATGTTTCCCTCCCTCTTCTGCAACAGCAAATCCACGCCCCCACTGAAACGTGGTGACCCTTCTTACAGCCTCCTCCGTTGCGTTGAGACCCTTTTCCCTGGGAGTAGCAAACCCCCTCCTGCTGTGGTGCATTCAGAGGCACAGCCAAGCACAGCGAATGTGCCTGCTGGGAAAAAGACGAGTGTCAGAAGATACCAAGAGACATTTTTAGATGGGCTGATCTACAATTAAGAGTATAATCCTCTGTCCCCCAGCTGAGCAGGGGTTTAGCAGCCACCCTTCACAGCAACTCTACTCACAGAGGGGGATGTTAAAGGGCTCTGCAAACAAACCCTTTGGTCAAAAGGCAATAACAGGACTCTAACTTCAGTTCAGCTTAGATCTGTGCTTTCCCATGCACAGCCTGTCTGCACAGTTATTTTTTGTGGCTTTTCACACACCCCTTTTTTTTATTTAACAAAAGGAGTCTTCAAACAAACCTGACAACATGGTAATCACATGGGAGAGACTGCCCAGAGATACCCTCTGTACTAAGTATCCCCATTTTCATTACATCTTCAAAACAGGTAGTTTCTAAATAAGAGTTTCTTGAAGTCCATGGGACAACTCCCTGGCTCTTTGACTGGGCCTCTTGTGGGGTCATGCTGAATTAATACCATATTGTCTCCACTTCTTCCTCCTTACCTTGCTTTCCTCTCATTGGCACTCATCACACAGCAAGTCAATTCATTAACCCAGACAAAAAAAGCCTTTCTGTCGTCTTACTGCATTAAAGGAGGTCACAGCTTGTGACAGGGCTCTTGTGGGTCAAGAGAGCACTGGGCTGTTAGCTATTTGGCAGCAGAAATATTGTATGTCAGAGACATTGTGTGAGAAGGGGAGGGATGTAAATACACATGTGCATTGGGGCAGCACACACCACAGGAGAGCCAAGCACTCTCCACCAGCACCCCAGTACTGCACACAGGCAAATAAACCCTGGTCTCTCCCATAAATATCCTTCTTCTAGCACCCAGGAGCCCACTGGGTGCTTAAGACCAACAAAATCCTAAGAGAAAAAGATCAGAGATCTTCATTCTCCCTGCTGTGCCACTGTGTTCCTGCTCCAGCAGGAACAGTCATTCACACCTGGGAAAAGTCAGCAAGCCTTAGGGAGACTTTAAACTTCTAACAAACAGCAATCTTAAAGCATCCCAAACACAGGGAACAGGCATGAGATGAGTCACAAATATACAAACTGATAGGTTAAATAAATACATTCCGTAGTTGTTAATCTATAGCTATGAGTGTTTTAAAGTAATGACTTGCCAGTGATTGGTGTTGCACAGCCTTACCCAACCAGGCAAACTCAACCACTCCAAGAGAGCGCCAGAGAAGCTGGTGTTACTAACCTCAGACAAACTGTGCTGATTTAAATTACTAGCAAGTCTGGCTCAGAGGGCAGCCGTCTCACCACTTTTCCAAAGAAATATTAGCATTTCTATTCCATAAACAAGGCAAGGGCTGGGCAGAGAGCATCACAAAAAGAGTAAATTAACAACTCGACATGACCACAGCAGCTCAGGAAGTCTTGGTCAAGAAGCTACTCAGGCATCTGGATGAAAAGCATACACCCTTTAATGCTATAAATACATCTTTGAGTCACATTTCCCGTCGATAAGAAGCACTGAAGTCCAGGGAGAAGAAACTGCTCCCAGAGAACCTCTACGCCCATAAGCAGAAATATAAAGCATTTTCTTTACTTTACAGCTATCCCATCAAGGCAGGCATTAAGAGAAAGGAACAGCAAACTTCATCGTAAAATCTCTGTTGAACTTTATACTGGTTTCTAAGGAGAATTTGGAGTCAAAAAAATACAGATCTTAACCTGGACAACTCCGGGCAAGGTCTTCTTGAGGTCAAAAGGCAGATGCAGCATATATGAGAGACATACCACCCTTTGCTTTCCACATTTAAAAGTGTTCAACAGTCAGGATATGATCTCTCCCTTTCTTAACAGTCATCACTAAAAGTAGACCTGATAACTCAAAGCCTGGATGAGCAGATCTTGCGATAATACCTCAAGTTTTAGCCTGCACTAAGTAAGCCTGAGCAGGGTCTTTACCAAATAGTCTTAACTGTAAGAACTGGTACTTTTGTAAGGCTCTTGACAGTGCCTTTCCTTTGATAGAGAAGGAAAGTCCAAGAGGAGGCTAAGAGGCATGTTACTTATATGAAGAATTTGAAAGGAGCATTAGCAAGGCTAGGTTAATCATGGAAAATTTTTGTAAATGCACAATACAATAGGCAGAACAAGGTTATCAGAAAAGGGAATACTATCAAGCTGTGAGTTTATTTACATCAATAAGAAGTACTACTTCTCCTGTCATGCTTCCTTTTTGCTGCCATCTATGTTTTACTTCTCATTTCTATACAACCATCTCTGCATTTACCTGATCTCTAGCTATAAACAAGAATGTTATTAAAAAAAAGCAATTATAAGGCAAGCATAAGTAACCATAAGGGCTTAAAATTGACCATTCTGGAGAGCAAAGACAAGTGAAGCATCCTCATGAAGTGCCTGGAGGGCTGTAAGCCGAAGGCAACTCCTCTGGTCGCTGCACAGCCCATGTAAGAGAATGCAGTCAAAGGAGAAATGCACATTCAGCCAATCCCAGACAAGTCATTATTTTAAAACACTCACAGCTATAGATTAACAACTACTGAAGGTATTTATATTGATGCCATGGGACTCCAGGAAGTTTTTTGGTCAGAAACATGAGGCTGTGGCAACTCACTTACAGTAGAGTAGTTGCCAGCATGGGAAAACTATGCACCTAGTTTTCTAAATTCTTCCTATTTGGTTCATTATATTTCCACACATTTTTATGTGAGGAGACACCTGCGTCTAAACAGCAGATGAGAGATACTACTCTGTGTATGCCCCAGTGTTGTGATACCATGGTGACATCCCATCCAAAAAGGCAGTTAAGTGTGAATAAGCTTCCTCTCCACAGCGGCTTTGGTTTCTCCCCTCTGCTGTAATGAGTCACCACATCCCATGTGCTGCTGTGCTTAGCCAAATACCATCACTGACTTCAGCTCTGATACTGCAAAACTAACTCCAAATACTCACCTTTAAAAATTTATTCTAAAAAGCAACAAAAAATAGAATAAAGGATAATCCAAAGCCAAAGGCGCATAACTTTGGTGTCCAGAGAACCTAATGAACTGCGACTTTGGTGGGAACAGACCACCTTTTTTGTGCTGATGATCAGCTATGATCATCACAGTATCATACAGTCCAGGTCAAAAACAATAATACAAATGTATAGGCTGCATCTGGCTCACAAACCAAAGACTCTTGTGCTAAAAGGAACATATGCACTCTTCGCCGAGTTGTTTGGTTACGCACCCCTGCCAAGAAGCCTGCTGCAGCAGTGATGGGTGCGTGTGCTCTGGATGCCTCATCTGTCCCTGCAGTACTCCACAATGCTCTGAATGGCTTAGCAGCAGTAATTGAACTCTACATGAGTAGAGGTCTGTTGCTTCGTGATCAAACTGTTTGAGGGACAAATAAGACTACAAAAGCTCCCTACAGAAAAAAGCAACATAATGAAAAGTACAGGTTTTCCAGAGAACCTGACATCTTCTAGTGCAGTCTTCTCTGTAACATCCTAAAACGGGGTGGGACATCAATGTCAGCACACAAAGTTCAAGTAAATGGAAGCTTAAGGAACCTATTGCTACAGATGCTGGTGTCAGATGAGGCAGTGTCAAAAAGAAAAAGAAAAAGCACTCGTGCAGCAGATCTGCTAATCTCATTGTGTGATAAAGCAGAGATTCAATACAGGCTGTTAGTAACTCAATGGTTATACAGAGAAAAGATCAATAGCATCTAATCAGGCACTGAACTGTCATACAATACCAAACTTTTGCCCAGATTCATAAGCAGATAGCAGTGCAAGTCATTGCAGTATTTAGTCATGGTGGAAACAGTAATACAACCAAGAACACTAACAACCTCCTGTTCAAATATTGTTTCAGGGTAAAATAATACCAGCTGTGAGTCAGTTCACATCCCTTGAGGATACCATACAGCCTCACGAGAACATCCAACTGATCCAAAGACCATGAAGACAACAAATGCTTTCATCAATTTCAAACAAGGTTTGACATTAGCAATAGCAACTCCACAACTTGAGCACGAAGGTACAAATCTTTCATTCCGGTGCTCTTGCTGCCACAACATCTGGATAGAAAAGCTGGAAGCCTGCAGAAGGCAGGAAGCAACCAAGTGCCTTCAGAAAAAAGCATCTCTACAAAATGCCAGATGTTGAAGCAGCACTACAATCAACCCTGATTTCAAGGTGAACAGCTCCCTAGCTGCAAAGTTTCACAATAAAAAAACCATGCTTTATGCCAAAAAAGTCATAGTGGGAGAGATGGTATCAGGCAGAGAGAGAACACATGAAGGAAGGAGGTGACACCCCAAGGACTTCACAGATTACACAACAGAGTCTAATCCCTGCCACAGATTATACTGGGGCATGAAGAGAACTAAATTCACAATCTAAGTACTTTTTACTGTCAGGGCTTTTTACACAAATTCTATCTAGTTTTTAAAGCACTAACCTAAATAATTTCTGAAAGAAAACATAGGCATAAATAAGCATATATTTCTGGATATGAAAACACAAATAGCAGCAGCAGGACTAGAAACTAAGCCACAACGTGGCTAATATTATGGTGATGAAAAGCAAACAACCAGAACTTTGTTCTTTTGCCAACCCCACTGCAAAAGCACAACACACGGCAC